TGACTAAACTGTGGCAGACAAATAGCAACATTGACTAAACTGTGGCAGACAAATAGCAACATTGACTAAACTGTGGCAGACAAATAGCAACATTGACTAAACTGTGGCAGACAAATAGCAACATTGACTAAACTGTGGCAGACAAATAGCAACATTGACTAAACTGTGGCAGACAAATAGCAACATTGACTAAACTGTGGCAGACAAATAGCAACATTGACTAAACTGTGGCAGACAAATAGCAACATTGACTAAACTGTGGCAGACAAATAGCAACATTGACTAAACTGTGGCAGACAAATAGCAACATTGACTAAACTGTGGCAGACAAATAGCAACATTGACTAAACTGTGGCAGACAAATAGCAACATTGACTAAACTGTGGCAGACAAATAGCAACATTGACTAAACTGTGGCAGACAAATAGCAACATTGACTAAACTGTGGCAGACAAATAGCAACATTGACTAAACTGTGGCAGACAAATAGCAACATTGACTAAACTGTGGCAGACAAATAGCAACATTGACTAAACTGTGGCAGACAAATAGCAACATTGACTAAACTGTGGCAGACAAATAGCAACATTGACTTAACTGTGGCAGACAAATAGCAACATTGACTAAACTGTGGCAGACAAATAGCAACATTGACTAAACTGTGGCAGACAAATAGCAACATTGACTAAACTGTGGCAGACAAATAGCAACATTGACTAAACTGTGGAAGAAAAATAGCAACATTGACTTAACTGTGGCAGACAAATAGCAATATTGACTAAACTGTGGCAGACAAATAGCAACATTGACTTAACTGTGGCAGACAAATAGCAACATTGACTAAACTGTGGCAGTTAAATAGCAACATTGACTTAACTGTGGCAGACAAATAGCAATATTGACTTAACTGTGGCAGACAAATAGATACATTGACTAAACTGTGGCAGACAAATAGCAACATTGACTTAACTGTGGCAGACAAATAGCAACATTGACTTAACTGTGGCAGACAAATAGCAATATTGACTAAACTGTGGCAGATAAATAGAAACATTGACTAAACTGTAACAGACAAATAGCAACATTGACTAAACTGTGGCAGACAAATAGCAACATTGACTAAACTGTGGCAGACAAATAGCAACATTGACTTAACTGTGGCAGACAAATAGCAACATTGACTAAACTGTGGCGGACAAATAGCAACATTGACTAAACTGTGGCAGACAAATTGCAACATTGACTTAACTGTGGCAGACAAATAACAACATTGACTTAACTGTGGCAGACAAATAGCAAAATTGACTTAACTGTGGAAGACAAATAGCAATATTGACTAAACTGTGGCAGACAAATAGCAACATTGACTTAACTGTGGCAGAAAAATAGCAACTTTGACTTAACTGTGGCTGACAAATAGCAACATTGACTAAACTGTGGAAGACAAATAGCAACATTGACTTAACTGTGGCAGACAAGTAGCAACATTGACTAAACTGGTGCAGACAAATAGCAACATTGACTAAACTGTGGCAGTTAAATAGCAACATTGACTTAACTGTGGCAGACAAATAGCAATATTGACTTAACTGTGGCAGACAAATAGCAACATTAACTAAACTGTGGCAGACAAATAGCAACATTGACTTAACTGTGGCAGACAAATAGCAACATTGACTTAACTGTGGAAGACAAATAGCAACATTGACTTAACTGTGGCAGACAAATAGCAATATTGACTAAACTGTGGCAGATAAATAGAAACATTGACTAAACTGTGGCAGACAAATAGCAACATTGACTAAACTGTGGCAGACAAATAGCAACATTGACTAAACTGTGGCAGACAAATAGCAACATTGACTTAACTGTGGCAGACAAATAGCAACATTGACTAAACTGTGGCAGACAAATAGCAACATTGACTAAACTGTGGCAGACAAATAGCAACATTGACTAAACTGTGGCAGACAAATAGCAACATTGACTAAACTGTGGCAGACAAATAGCAACATTGACTAAACTGTGGCAGACAAATAGCAACATTGACTAAACTGTGGCAGACAAATAGCAACATTGACTAAACTGTGGCAGACAAATAGCAACATTGACTAAACTGTGGCAGACAAATAGCAACATTGACTAAACTGTGGCAGACAAATAGCAACATTGACTAAACTGTGGCAGACAAATAGCAACATTGACTAAACTGTGGCAGACAAATAGCAACATTGACTAAACTGTGGCAGACAAATAGCAACATTGACTAAACTGTGGCAGACAAATAGCAACATTGACTAAACTGTGGCAGACAAATAGCAACATTGACTAAACTGTGGCAGACAAATAGCAACATTGACTAAACTGTGGCAGACAAATAGCAACATTGACTAAACTGTGGCAGACAAATAGCAACATTGACTAAACTGTGGCAGACAAATAGCAACATTGACTAAACTGTGGCAGACAAATAGCAACATTGACTAAACTGTGGAAGACAAATAGCAACATTGACTAAACTGTGGCAGTTAAATAGCAAGATTGACTTAGCTGTGGCAGACAAATAGCAACATTGACTTAACTGTGGCAGACAAATAGCAACATTGACTTAACTGTGGCAGGCAAATAGCAACATTGACTTAACTGTGGCAGGCAAATAGCAACATTGACTTAACTGTGGCAGGCAAATAGCAACATTGACTTAACTGTGGCAGACAAATAGCAACATTGACTTAACTGTGGCAGGCAAATAGCAAAATTGACTTAACTGTGGCAGACAAATAGCAACATTGACTAAACTGTGATTACAATTTCTTTGGGGATGTCGATTTTGAATTAATTCAAGTAAATGTCAAGGATTTTTACTTCACCAATTAATTGTAACACCATAGAGGCGCCAAGAAAAGGTGCGCAAAGATCTATAGGACTTATATTCTAATTCTACGCAAAGCTGTATCTAGATTGAAAAATTGACGAGTAGATTTAAAATAAAACCTAGAAACAAAATCTATTTTTAAATCCATTCAAGTTGAAGGTCAAGATTCTCTCTCCTCCCCCCCCCCCCGAGGACATAATGTACAACCATAAAGCGAGAATTAGCCTACCTTATTTATGTATATTTTAAAAAAAAAAACGACTGAAATTTCCATCTTTATAACTATAACATTTTTGAAATGAGTATGAATGATGAGTTTCAATGATTAAAACTAATTAAACTCTTTCTTGATGTATTCGACGTGTTCTTGAGCTTGTGGGTGGATAGAAGAAACGCATTGTGTGCCGCCATGCGTGGAAAGCGTGTTTGCGCTGCGGCTAGTCTGTCACGAATGTTCAATGGAAGTTTTGACTGGTGTACACAAAATGAACGTCTTTCCTGTGCGTGGTGCGTAAGTCAGCTTTCATTTGGTGAGACCATTATGTCGAGTGTTAATTCCCTTGACGTATGAACCTTGTGAAACGTATCAGTATTGAATAATCATTCCTAGACCAAGGTGGGCAACCTACTTTGACCAAAATAGCCATAGTTGTGGCCAATGAATGCACAATAAAATTCGCCACAGTTATATAAATCCTAAAACACTCCTCTTAAGTCAAATGGGAGTAAATGCCGCCAATAGCGCCGCTCTGCTACTGCTAGTTGTTGTTTAAAAGTATTCATTGTTTGCAACCAGTGTTTCCTTCGGGCAGCTCTCGGAGGGTGGGGGCCAAGTCTATTCCTCCACCCCTACCCCGAGAAAGTGTTTAAAAATAAAGCGTTAATATGATTTTTTTTTTAAAGTCACATTTATAAAGAGTTGTAAATGGTAACTTTAACTTTTAAAATTAGTGAAATAGTGGAACCAATGAAATATAGCTACGCTCGATATAGGCCTATAATTTGATGTTGTTTACATTTACCGGCATATATATTTAGTTTAAACACTTACATTTAGTTGATGTTGCGTGAAGGAGGCAATCATTATGCATTATGTTGGAACTGATCAAGATAGTGCAAGAGGTACTGGATACCAAGGATTAAGGTCGCCTTGGGTGGGTCAATATTTTGGCACCTCCTTGCAGGATAAAACCTCTACAGTAGACCTCAATAAAAGAAAAAAGGGCCCCGGGCGGACCACCGACCCACCCACCCCCTTCCTACACCCCTGGCACTGCTGCCCACCCAAAGATTTGAAATGGCCCACCCCCGGAACAAATGGTCTGAAAGAGCAGTGCTCAAGACATTTGAAGAAATAATCCGGCCTATCCGGAAATTTGATCAAAAGGAAATTTGGTCGAATCTTTTTTTTTTTTTCAGTTCACACGTTAAAATGTTCGTTAAATTTTTTTTTGAACGCTTTATTTTGTTTTATTCTATTCCAAATTTGTTTCAATCAAATTTCCGGTAACCAAAACCCGGGCGTGACAAGGTAAAGTTCACGGCGAACATTGTGCATTTTCCATGGTATTAAATAGTGAAGAAAATATTAAGGAAAAGATGTCGGGGGGGGGGGGGGTGTTTGTATATATATATATATATATATATTTATATATATATATATATATAACTAACCAATACTGCAAAAGTAGTAACTCAAAAACCTTAGTGAAAATAAGAACGAATAAGAAGAGAGCAAGAAAGTCAACTTAGAATGAAGTTGGCCTCAAAATTGAAAAGAACGGTAACCAGGAAGCTATCAAAATCAAACTAAGAAGACTTTTAGCCAGCTGTTTGTTGTAAATTCAAGTTTTCCCCTATCTTGTTTTTAATATTAGTCTGCAGGAATTTTGAACACAAAAAATGCATGTTAGTAGGTAGTTTTTCTTGCTTGTACATTGACGTTCAAATTCCTGTAAGTGTAATAAATTATAATTTAATAAATAGCTTTGTTTGATGTTTTTGAAAAATAAATAAATTGCGACATGCCATATTTATTATACTTTATATACTGAACTTGATTAAAAAATAAATATTTACTTTGTAATTTTATTCGTGTTTTAAATGATGTCGGTAATTAGAATATGGAGTCATGACAACAAGAATATTTTTAAATGGCGTCCATCTAAGCACAGCAGCAGTCCATATATGTTATTTCAAAATAACAGCCAAACAAATTATTTATTACGGAAATTTTTTAATTTCATGTTCTTGAAATAATTGCATCTATTTTTATTGGTGATGGCTCTTGTTGCATCTGTAAGTTCCGAGGCACCATGCGTCAGAGCGTCCGTAGAAAAATTACAAGAGTTAGGTAGGTAGTAGTAGTAGACTTAGTACCTATGACCTATAGAAACTACTAGTTACGACTAGTAGGCTAAAAAAAACAACCTCAGTGGTTGTATTTCCTTGACAATGCTGCATACTCATTACAGGTAAATTTTAAGGACGAATGCCACTATTTTATTGAATTTCACAAATAATAATAATAATAAAGTTCATTTCAAAAACACGCTTCATCCCCAAAGGCTCGAAGCGCGGTACAAAGTCAAAAAAATACAAATCTATAATTTACCACATTTAAAACAAATGCAACACTACAAAAACTAATTACTAGCATACAATTGCAAAGTCTTTCTAGCCATTTCAACCCCATTATGCACTAACTGGAAAATAAGGTTGACAATCATCCCAGAAGGTGTTTGTGAAATAGATGTGTCTTTAAATTGGTTTTAAAGGACTCCAGTGTCTGGTTGTTTCTGAGATCGACAGGAAGGGCGTTCCAAATTGTTGGACCAGCAAATGCGAAAGTGCGCTTTCCGTAATCTCAAGGCAAACACGTGGTGTCGAGAGTTTGCCACTATCGGATGAGCGGAGTTCTCTAGTGGGTACATAAGGCATAAGCAGCTCTTTCAGATAGGACAGCGCCAGGTCATGTAAGCAGCGGTAGCACAACGTTGCGATTTTGTACTCTATGCGAGCACGCACCGGTAGCCAGTGCAGCTCTCTCAGAAGTATTTTTGCATGATCGAACTTGCGTTTGCGGAGAACAATGCGAGCTGCATTATTCTGTGCTATTTGAATTTTATCCAGGAGCGTAGCTGGAAGACCCACCATGAGAGCATTGCAATAGTCCATGCGTGATAGCACGAATGCAGACATCAGCCTCTTTGTTGCATCAATTGTTAGGAAGGGCCTGATGTGACTAATCCTGCGCAGCTCCAGAAAAATCGCCCTGCATAGCATGTTAAATGATGAATGTATCCCTAAATCGATCCCTATGCCTAACCTGAACCCTAAATCGATCCCTATGCCTAACCTGAACCCTAAATCTATCCCTCAACCTAAACTAAACTCTAATTCACTGCCACTATAATAAACACAAAAAAGACGCCATGGCATCCGTCCTTATTTCTAGCCTCATTACATTACGCTATTGCCAATTGCTCACCGACAATTACTTACATATACAATTTAATGACAATAAACTTTACCCACTTGAGTAATAAGTTGCCCATAACAACAGTTTCCATTTATCTTGTTCCAGTCCCTTCCTTTCCTGTTGCTTCCAGGTGTATCCCAAACTTTGTGTTTCCAGTCCTTTCCTTTCCTGTTGCTTCCAGGTGTATCCCAAACTTTGTGTATCTGCCTCAATCTCCGATCTCCATGTATTCTTCTCTTGCTTTTTCCCGTTTGGTGCCATGTATTGTTGTATTGTCTGGTGATGTTTTCTGGGTGTTTACAAAGAGTGTGCTCTATCCATGTCTATCTCTTTACCTTATGACGTCTTCACCAATAGCCAATAGCCTCTTGATATGTCATGTTCAGTTTGTTCGTTTTTATTGCAACTTTGATTTATAAATATTATCTTGTGAGCATTAATTAACCATTAATTTTTTTTCCCAAGGTGGACGGATGCAGTTAAATTGTTTGGATTTCAAAGAAAATGATATCAACAATCTTAACAAAATTATTGAGGCGATTAATGAACTGGTAATATTTATAATTTATAATCTCTATACCGGTAAATGATACTTTTAAATCCACATCAATTTTTAAATAAATATTATGGTTGTAATTTCTAATATAATTCTCCATTGCTTTAATATTTTGAGGCTCTGCCCTTGGGACACACATGTTGAATTTACAGGTATTATAAAGTATAATTTTTTAAACAGTTAACTTGCAATGCAAAAGTATTTAATAGCAATAAATTTGACCAGTGTTTAATCTCAGTTAATTTAACTAGTAATACCCGGTATATATTTTTTTATGTACAGTACCGGTATCACTCAGACTTTTATTTTGTGCTGAAAATTCCGTTTAATAGTTTTAGCTGAAAGAATAATTGCTCTGTTTTTAAAAAGGTTCACCTTACTGCTTTATGCTTCACATTGCTCAACCTGTTATTGTTGTTGTTGTTTGTCCGTCGAAATCGACTAGGACCATCGGGTCATCCAGTTAGGGGGAGGGTGGGTTACGGTGAGCTCGTAGGTGGCTTGCTAGACCGATCCGTGCTCGGAATAATCTAAGATGCTGCGGAGACCTATTTTTGTCGGTAGAGCTTTTTTGCAAAATTGAATGTGATAATCTCAACAAAAAAGATCACATGGGCGCAAAGAAATTTACTTTAGTTTTAGAAAGTGATAACAGGCTAAAGCTGACCATAACCCATTGTCATAAATAGGCATAATGACTAAAGCTCCCTAACCCTAGTACCATTGTCATAAATAGGCATGACTAAAGCTCCCAAACCCTAGTACCATTCTCATAAAGAGACATTATGACTAAAGCTCCCAACCCTAGTACCATTGTCTAAAATAGGCATAATGACTAAAGCTCCCTAACCATAGTACCATTGTACCTAGTACCATTTTCATTAATAGGCATAATGACTAAAGCTTCCAAACCCTAACCCTAGTACCATTCTCATAAAGAGGCATAATGACTAAAGCCTCCTAACCCTAGTACAATTCTCATAAAGAGGCATAATGACTAAAGCTCCCTAACCCTAGTACAATTCTCATAAAGAGGCACAATGAATAAAGCTGCCTAACCCTAGTATCATTGTACCTAGTACCATTTTCATAAATAGGCATAATGACTAAAGCTCCCAAACCCTAGTACAATTCTCATAAATAAGCATAATGACTAAAGCTCCCTAACCCTAACCCTAGTACCATTTTCATAAATAGGCATAATGACTAAAGCTCCCAAACCCTAACCCTAGTACCATTCTCATAAATAGGCATAGTGACTAAAGCTCCCAAACCCTAACCCTAGTACCATTTTCATAAATAGGCATAATGACTAAAGCTCCCAAACCCTAGTACAATTCTCATAAATAGGCATAATGACTAAAGCTCCCTTACCCTAATACCATTTTCATAAATAGGCATAATGACTAAAGCTCCCTAACCCTAGTACCATTGTACCTAGTACCATTTTCATAAATAGGCATAATGACTAAAGCTCCCAAACCCTAACCCTAGTACCTAGTACCATTTTCATAAATATTCATAATGACTAAATCTCCCTATCTCTAACCCTAGTGCTGTTGTCATAAATAGGTATGACTAATGCTATTCATTTTTAATACTATTTTATTATTCAATAGAAATTAAAATAACACTTACTGACTCTGCGATTCTTGCTACGAGTTTTACAAAGAGATTTGTAATTATTGTTTACTACTCAAAGTAGTATGACTAACGCTATTTAAGTATTAACTAATAATATGGTGGTATCAGGGGCCATCAACAAATAATGTCACACAAATTTTGCCGATTTTTTTACCCCCCTCCCCCTTTGTCACAAATCATCACAAAAAGTTAGACCCCCCCTCGAATATAACGTCACAAATATCTGTGCACCCCTTGCCCATAAAAATTCCCTGTGTCCACTACTGTCCTTTTCAAACCCTTAAGAAATTCACCACCCATGGATATCAAATTACTGCACCTGTGTCAGAAACATTTCCCTAGAACAGTGATTGTTAACCAGATGTAAAAGTACCTCCCCAGCCCTTAGGTGCGGAAGACCAGAAAATTGTATTTTTTGCCATTGGTAGTCGTTGCGGATTTTTTCCCCCTTTTTTTTTAAAATTCAGTTTTTATGCATTGGAATAGCAGCAGTAAATGTTTTCTGGTGAATTTTGTTTGCACATTATTACTTGTATTGGTAATTTTGTTCCTTGTTTATAGAAAGTTAATTAAAGAAATAAACCTATGATACCCGTAACTAAATTATTTAATTATTTACATATTTTACTAGCCAATATACCCGGCGTTGTACGGGATTCTATTCGGATAAAACAACTTCTACCGCCTTTTTTCTGTTTACCAATGGTATTGATTGATTGATTCATTGGATATTTACACAGCACTGGTATCCATGCTACTTTAGCATGCTCACTGCGCTCTGGTTTTCTTAAATCTATTTACACAAAAGTTTTTAAATGTTTCTTAAATGATTTGTTATCCTTTTCAATTCCCCTCAAAGATTAAGGCAAACTGTTCCATAATTTTGGCGCTATTGCTTCAAAAGAGCACACTCCGTAAGACTTTTTTCTGTGTTCATCCACACTGGGAATTTTCAGGAAAGGACTGTGTTGAAGACCGCAGGTTCTTCAAGGATAAATGTTTTTAAATCAGTTCTTTAAGATATTCAGGTGCAGAACCTTCTATGAAGCTGTACGTCAGGGACATAATTTTGTAATCAATGCGCTCACTCACAGGAACCCAATGCAGATCTCGTTGAACTAGGGGGATGTGGTCAGATTTCATTATCCGGGATACAATGCGTGATGCAGTATTTTCTACCCTTTTGGGATCCTGATCCCGATAATACCATTTCATGGAGGGATCCCCGATAGCGTGGTATCCTGATCCTGGTGGGATCTCAATTGCTGTGGGATCCTATTCCCAGTAGGATTCTGATTCCCGGTGGATCCTATTTCCCGGTGGGGGCCCATTTTCCTGTGGGGTCCCGATCCCATTGGGGTACAGATCCCATTAGCACCCCAATCCCATTCTCTATGAGATCCCGTTTCCCAGTTGGATCCTCTTTGTTGATGGGATCTTGTTTCCCGATAGGATTACAGTTTGACCCCTTGCCCCATGGGATCGTGTTACCCGTGGGTTCCAGTTTACTGTTGGATCTCATTCCTTTTTAGGATCCTGTTCTTCTGTAGGATCATGTTCCCAGTTGGATTTGGTTCCCGATAGGCTTATGAAGGGTATGATTGGAGGAAATCCCCATGAAAGTATAGAAATGAACAGAACTAAAATAACAATTCAAAAAGCTTTTAGATTCAAATATATATTGCAGAAGAGCAAAAATAGAACGTTCTGGCACAATCTGCATTAAATTTAATATCCTCCTTGAAATATGTAAAAAATTATTTTACAATGTAATTATTGTTCAAATACGAAAAATTATAACTTAATTCACTACTAGAACAATAGTCAATTTAAGTTGAAAAGAGGTGTCCCGGTGGGGGCCTATTCCATATGCATACCATTTTAGCATGAGATAGGGAGTCCTATAAAAATCAGTCAGATAAATAATAAAGTTAAAATTTGAAAGTTGTCCCATTAAAATCGGCTGTAAAAAATTATGGAACTTTCTGGAAAAGTCTAGACCGGCTTAGAAAGGATTGGATATTATTCATTTTAAACCCACCTATATTTCAATATGGATAATGAAGGGTATTGCTACCAAGCTATGCCTATATCCATCAATTCACGTATAAACTATAGTGTTGTCTAAGCCTATTGAGAGTTAAATAACTTATATAAGGAAAAATGAAATGGGGCCCCCGAGGAATGAATATTATGAGTTCAGTAACCTTCGGTATTTTAATATGGATAATAAAGTGTATGTGTACTAAGTTTGGTCAAGAAATATCTAAATCTATTTATTTATAAAGCTCAAAAAAAAAAAAAATCACACAACATCACAAAAATGTGACCCCCCTCCCTCCCACCCAGACACATGACATCATTTATGGATGGCCCCTCAATCAAACCGCTATTAGTTTCTTAATTAAGATGGCCTACCAATAATACCGATCATCAACTTTGGACCATATCAATGCTACCAATCTTCAACTTTGGGTTAAAGGTCACACCAATACTACCAATCTTCAACTTTGGGTCAAAGTTCATACCAATACTACCAATCTTCAACTGTGGGCCAAAGGTCATTTTAAACACACCAGTCAAATTTAAGGTTGCTGTTGACCAAAGTTGATAATATTGTACCCACATTTTTGAACAAGTTTTATAATTAAATTTTATAATCAAATTTTATTGTCTTAATCCAACGAAAAAAAACACAGCACAATTCTATATGTGCGTACAACTGGGACAATGTAAAAAAAAAGTAAAAAATATGGGTAAACTGTACAGGTTGGCCTATTAGCCCACATGTTCTTTTGATTTCCCAAATACGTCATGCCTTCTCTCTTCAAGATTCCTCCTCCCTTCCATACCCTCTTCTCCTTCACATACTTGTATTCCCACTGCATATACATATTTTGTTTGTGATGTGCTTTAATCCTCTAAAAAATTTAATATTGCAAGGAAGAAGAGAGAAAAGAAAAACATGAAAATTTGGAAACAGAAACTATCAAGTCTAGCATTCTCAGATATGAGTTGAAGCTGCTGCCAGATGAAATTCAAGATGAGATAATGAGTAAGATAAACTTCATTTGAAATTTTATATTTTTAAAACGTTTTTTAAGTTATATTTTATACATATGTGGACAAGCCGAATACATAGCCAACAACAATATTTTATAACTTTATAAATATTCATACTTCAACTTTAATTTACTTGCACACTTTTTTTAGCCAGATAATATTTTCATAACTGCTAATCTAGATTTGTATTCAAAGATTGCAAACTAATACATAATATGTGTCTTTTAGAGTCAATTCTTAACTGCATTCTTTACATTAGCAGGAGAAGTAAGCTATAGTAAACATTCGTCCAATATAAATTATAATTTACACCAGTAACGTAGCTTTAATGGTTCTTAAATTCCTTAAAGTTATATTTTTACTTTTCTTTAAGTTATTTGAGAATCTAAATGAATTTAATTATGAAAAAGACCAGTATTTCAGTTAGCCTTTAAATTAAGAATTTATTTCATTGAATAACCAGAGTAAATTAGCCTTTAAGTTAAACAATTATTTTATTGAAAAACCAGAGTACATTAGCCTTTAAACAATTATTTCATTGAATTACCAGAGTACATTAGCCTTTAAATTAAGCAATTATTCGAGTGGATAACCAGAGTACCATGAATCTTTACTTTACAATTGTTTTAAAGTGAAACATTCATTTTTTTTTAAAAGTATTTTTATTATGTCATGGAAAAAAATTTTTTTTTACTATTACTTAATACTATATTATTTTTTACATTTTATTATTTTAAATTCAACTCATGTACGGCCTTTTTCATAATTTTTGTTAATTAAATAGCTATTTTTACAGCATTTAAAAAAACTAACTATAATTTAAAGTACACTTGTGGACCAAAGAATTTTTTTATTTTGAAAAGTCATGCATCAATGTTACATTCACAATTTTTTTTTATTGTATTATGAGTCCTTAATGTTTTTTGCCACTTTTAGAACAAATCAAACTTGAGCAAAATTAAAATTTGAATGGTTACTCAATCAAGTTCTTCATGACTACCTAACACTATTGTTAATATGCCTGGATTGCTGCAATATTTAAAACTTATTCATAATTTATTGTATTCTTTTCTTCAAACTCTTATTTATCTTGCTCAGTTGCTACATTCCTAGCTAAAATAGCATTTTGTAAAGTCTATTACCTTTGGATGTTAAGCAACAAATTAGCTTCCATTCCACTCTTTTCCTTTTAGAAACTAGACGACAGTGATTCCCTTATCATAAATGCTTTAAAATGACCAGCATTTTAAAATATTTGGAGTTAAGAGATTTACAAATTTCATACTCACAAGACCAATAAGATTAAGATTGTTAAATTTTCGAATTGGAAGCTGTCAAAAGATGAGATATTACTATGCCATCATCACTTTAGAATAGAGAGCATTTTGTAAATAATCTTTTTAACCCTCGTAAAAATACATTTTATTTCTTATTTTTAGATGCCGTGAATGCAGCTCGTCAGTCCAATGCAGAAGCATTACAAAACTTGCAAGAAAAGCTAGGCAAAATGAACACTAATATCTTGGATCTCAGTGCTAAAGCTTCTGATATGGAATCAGAAAATTCTATTCTCCAGTACGAATGTAACAAAGAAAGTTATTTTAATCAAGACACTTGAAGTCGGGTCATAATTTTTTACACCATTCCAATTCACTAATACTTAAAAATAGCCAAATGGCAGAAAAACGGCTGAAATGCTATAACTAGAATATTTGTTATGTATTGATAGTAATAACTCTTCTAAAATAATGGAGAAAAATCAATTTTAAACAGTTTGCATTAGAAATAAGTCATAAGTAAAAGGAAACGTTCATTTTAAAAAAATTAAATATGGATTATTTTAATTGCAACATACTTTTAATTTGTAAAACTCCGAGAATTCCAGCTGTTTAAAAAAATGAATATTTTCAGTTATTGCTAAAATCAAAAAGTCAAATGTCTCTTCAAACTAAGAGACAACTCTAGCTATAACCTTAATGACTATATACTTTAACAGGCTAGATCATAACAGATCATTGCAGCCTAATCCCAGAAACACTAACACATCTGTTGACAGAATGTTCCTCACTAGAAGTTTTGGGGGAAGCTAGGGCTGTGGGAGAGCCTGACATGAGGAGAATTTTATTTAGCTCAGCTCAGCAGATGGAGCTGGTAGCCAATATGCTAGCCAGGGTCATAAGAGAGTAATCTCAGACCCTCACCAGAATATGTGTGTTAGTTAGCTATATTCTTAACAAATTACTGTATGTTTTCAAAAATTATTATTGGTTTAATTTTACAAACATTTAAAGAATTTCCATGAATTTAAAGAATTTCCAAAAATGACTTAATAAGAAATTTTATGGTTTCAAAAATGATTTTTAAAAAAATTTAAATTAAAATGTTCTTTTAGGACTTTTTTTTTAAATTGCTAAATTTTCCAAAAATTTTCCTAATACTGCTTTCTGATTTTATTGGTTCAAAAAGTTTTTTTTAATTAAAAAAGAATCTGTGACCAACATAATTTAATTGAAGTAAACAGCTTGACAGCTTCCAATCAAATATTAATAAGGAAGTGTTTGCAACAGATAACTTTATTACTAACAAGGAAGTGTACACCAGAGATAACTTTATTTTACCAAGCTACTATACTATACATTTCTCTCCAGGCCAGAAAAAGAATTACTGTACCAGCAACATGAAGAAATCATAGCACAACTGAATGAAAAAATGGCAGACAAAGCAATGTAAGTTTTAATGAAGTCAAGGACAGTGAAAATTCGACCAATAGCACTGAGATGCTATAGATTTTATTGAACAATAATTTTAAACAATATTCTTATACTTATGATATGATATGATTGCTAATTTTTTCTGTACAAATGGATATTGTCAGTATGAAATGATTTTATCTGTATGAAAGGATGTTTGTCTGTGTGAAAAATATCACTTAATGATATTGACATATGATTATTTTTAGGTATAAAATTATTACTTGTTTATTATCACCTTGACCTAAAGGCCACAATTTTCTCTCTTTATTTAAGAAAAACAAAATGTTTACACAATTAAACCCAGATTGCTGCATTTTACTTTACATTTTTTTAAAAATTGTCTTCCTAATCACTGTTACCAAATTTCAGGATGCAGATTGGTTTAAATGAAACCAGGGATAAAGTACGACAAGCTAACCAAAATGTAAGTCTTCATTAACTTAAATTGAAAAAATAGGCTACATCATTTATTATCACAAGCCAACAAAAAAACTTTTTTCCTGGGGCCTTGAGTTTTAGATCTCTTCCCTTGTGCTATTTAGGGTCTGTTCTCTAGTGCTATTTAAGGTCTGTTCCATAGTGTTATTTAGGTCTGTTCCCTAGTGTTATTTTAGGCACTGATTCTGAAATGATTTTTTTTGTAACAGCACCAGTTTTTAAGATATTGTTGAGTTTACGCAAATTTAGTTTTCACTGTATTCAGAATCAGACAAGTTGTAACATATGCAAGAGAAACTTGGATCCTAACAAAAACAGCAGAAAACCTATTAAACACATGGGAGAGAAAAGTTCTCAGGAAAATATATGGACCAGCAAAGGATGAATATGGATTGAGACTACATAAATTTTTAATTTCCTAAAATCTCCAGCCTGATATGTTAAAATGGCTTCATACAGATTTTTTTTGAAAAATGTAGGAAATCTGCACTGAGTTTGAAAAACAGAAAATAAGTAGTTAATTTCATATAATATAGGTTATTAGGTGCCAAGATTAGAGATCAAGATAACCAGGGGCTCCACATATTATAAAAACACAACTTGTACAGAGCAATTGCTCCAGGCCACGAATGCTTGCCTCTAGAGTTGGGAGAAAGAATGTACTTCAGTCTGAAACAAACATTACAATTAATCAAAGGTCAATTGATAAGATAAATTACTATAAAAAAATCTTTGGGTGATTTGTCTAAACTTAACAATGATTTTTTTTTTCCTCTGGTTTACGATACAAAGTAGCTGCACAGATATTCTTGCTCTTCATGTATTTTGGGATTGTAGAGCCAAAGTTGAAAATGTGTCTAGAGAAGATTTACCTTTGAGGGAAATAGGGTGGTCAGAGGAACAATGTAAACAAGCTTTCATAACTAAGATAGAATCATTCTACTGCTAATATATATATATATACATCTAAGCCTGTCTGATTGAACAGGTTGTAAGTCCTTTGAATAAAGCAGTCAATCCACACCAAATATGGACTTATCCCTGAGAAATGGAAAGCTAATATTTTGATGGCACACTGGTCAGAAAAAACATAAATGTCTCCACTTCCTTCCATAAAAATAAATGAATTATTATCAAACATTTTCCAAGTTTTAATAACTTTAAATCCTTTATATGAACTTCACTTTTGTTCATGGCTGTCTGGCTGGGTGGTGAACTGGCAAAATCTTCTGACCGCTAATAGACCCACTTCCTGTCAAATTATCGAGCTGAAACTTGGCACATGAACTCATTGCTGATGACAACAAATTCTTTCATATTATCAGCCCCGGTCCCAAAAATCAGTTTTTCCCGTTTTTCAAGGGGAAGATGAAGGAAATATGACACCACTGATCCAATGAAATAAAATTTACAGATAACTGCGCTAAATTAGATCCTTAAAAAAAATATCGCAAGTGCATTTGGTGCGTGATTTTTTCAATTGTTTCTCTAAAACAGTCTGTGACATTACTCTGTCTGCGGTGTAAAGCAGGTGGGTCATCAGAGTCATTACAGTTCAGGGGCATGAAAAAAATGTGCGGTTGTGAGCCTGGGGGTGAGGGGGGATTCTTCTAAAAATTCTTTAAAACTATGTTTTTAGGGGTTGTTTCATTATTTATTTATTCTTAGTGTAAGAAATATTGATGCAATCAGTTAGATTTAGATTGGTGTCCATGCAATCACTTAGATTTAGATTGGTGTCCATGCAATCACTTAGATTTAGATTGGTGTCCATGCAATCACTTAGATTTAGATTGGTGTCCATGCAATCACTTAGATTTAGATTGGTGTCCATACAATGACTTAGATCGGTGTCCTTGCAATCACTTAGATTTAGATTGGTTTCCATACAATGACTTAGATTTGTGTCCATGCAATCAATTAGATCGGTGTCCATGCAATCAATTAGATTGGTGTGCATGCAATCACTTAGATTCTTGTCCATGCAATCACTTACATTTATGTCCTGAACCTTAAGAAAATAGTGAAGTTAGAGATGTCATCATGACATATACATGTAACAGCAACCAGATACCAATGTAACTAAATTGCACATATGATTTAGATTTTTAAAAAGAAATCTTTTTCTGAATTTTCCTGGAAGAGCCTATCTTATGAAGTCTAATGAAAGTAGCTGCATTTGTGTTGAGTTAGAGTTAGGTGCATTTGTGTAGAATGCTAATACAAATGTTCCAGTAAATCTGTTCAGGCATAAAATAAGACATTTCATGCAGCGAAAATTTCTTTAAATAATTAAAATAATGCTTCATTCTTAAAAATGGCATTTTCACTATCTGAAAAACTGCAGCTGAAAGGGGAAATGTGGTACCATATACCTAGTAACAAGTCATTGTCTTGGTTAAAACACTTTTACTAAAATGCTTTTTTTTTTTTTGTCCACTGGCTTGTACTTGTATGTCAATTTTGTATGGTTGCATTTTGTATTTTATTGCGCTTTGAGCCTTAATTAGGGATGAAGCGTGTTTTGAAATGAACTATATTATTATTATTATTTACATAATTTTCAGTACCTTACTTTTAATAAAGCAATGGATTATATTAAAGCAGCATTTATTAGCTGGGCACATCGCATTTATTAGCTGGGCACATCAAAATATATTTTAAAAAACATTGCCTATTACTATTAAGAATTGTACAAAGTAATTTATAACCTTCTGTTATAATTAAATATTGAAATATTCTAAAGATTGATGAGCTGGAAGACAGTATTCTGCAACTAAAAGAAGATTTGATACAAGAAAGGACAGATGCAAGACAAGAAAAAAAGTTGTTAAAAAAAGCTGTGGTAGGAGGTTATTAATACAGACATACCTCTCCATTTCCCACTGAACCCACTTGGTCACCTTTGATGCTATAAATCCACTGAGTCACCTTTCATACTTTGATACTATAAACCCACTTGGTCACCTTTGATGTATAAGCCCACTTGTTCACCTTTGATCCCCATAACATTTATTAATAGAACATAAGACAGTGTGTCCCCAAACATTTATTTATGGAGATATGAAAATTAGATCAAACCATTTATGCATATAAAATTTCTCTCTGGAAACTTCTGTACTTTACAGAATGATACTCAAGCAAAAGCTAAAGAGCAAAGGGAGCAAAACATAGAAAAAAAGAGGTGAGTTGTTTGTATGACTTAAAGAGAAGTGAGAATAGTTAATGTTAATACTGTTTGAAACCCATTTGCAAACCTCTTTAGGCATGATGAGGTTTTGTGGTCAACTAGATTGTCACATCAAGTAATGTGCAAATCTGAAATTGATTCATTAATTAATTATGTTTTTGATGTGGAAGTAGTCACATCTTGATCAAATGACTATGCTTGCTTATTACTTCTTTGTGTGCAGTTTGAATATGTAACTTGTATTTTAAAAATATATTGAATGTGTCATGAGGCCTTCAAATATTTAGTTTTGCCTTGAATGTCTTTATTTTTAACATACAGTCTTTAAAAAATCAACAAAAATATGCAGATCCTATTGATATGACATGCTCTTTATGACTTTATGCCTTTCTGTATTAGTTTCAAAAGGCTCCTTTATGTCAAAACTTTCATTTTTTTAACAATTTTATAGCAGAAGGTACCAGAACTGAAATTAGAATACCTGCTATTTTCTCGTGAATAGTTTTATCGCTAGTGCTCATCATTTTATATATAGACATTTTTTAAAAGGGAGAGTGAAGATTATAATGTGTTAAATGTTTCCTGGAGAATGAAGATTATAATGTGTTAAATGTTTCCTGGAGAGTGAAGATTATAATGTGTTAAATGTTTCCTGGAGAGTGAAGATTATAATGTGTTAAATGTTTCCTGGAGAGTGAAGATTATAATGTGTTAAATGTTTCCTGGAGAGTGAAGATTATAATGTGTTAAATGTTTCCTGGAGAGTGAAGATTATAATGTGTTAAATGTTTCCTGGAGAATGAAGATTATAATGTGTTAAATGTTTCCTGGAGAGTGAACATTATAATGTGTTAAATTTTTCCTGGAGAATGAAGATTATAATGTGTTAAATGTTTCCTGGAGAATGAAGTTTATAATGTGTTAAATGTTTCCTGGAGAGTGAAGATTATAATGTGTTAAATGTTTCCTGGAGAGTGAACATTATAGTGTGTTAAATGTTTCCTGGAGAGTGAAGATTATAATGTGTTAAATGTTTCCTGGAGAGTGAAGATTATAATGTGTTAAATGTTTCCTGGAGAATGAAGATTATAATGTGTTAAATGTTTCCTGGAGAGTGAAGATTATAATGTGTTAAATGTTTCCTGGAGAGTGAAGATTATAATGTGTTAAATGTTTCCTGGAGAGTGAAGATTATAATGTGTTAAATGTTTCCTGGAGAGTGAAGATTATAATGTGTTAAATGTTTCCTGGAGAGTGAAGATTATAATGTGTTAAATGTTTCCTGGAGAATGAAGATTATAATGTGTTAAATGTTTCCTGGAGAGTGAAGATTATAATGTGTTAAATGTTTCCTTAACAAATTTCTTTTGCTTAAATCTTTGGGGCTTTATCCATAAAGTTTTCTGCTAATGACAAGGTCAAAATCCTCTTTAATATTTAAGTGTGTTCAAGTAATGGTGCAATGTTAGTTGATATTTAGCTCAGTTACTTCTTAAATTGTTTTGTTTAGAGAAGTGGACACCCACCAAGAAAAGCTGATGGAAAGTGAAGGAAGGCTTGATGCTTTAAGGAAGGTAATTAGTGGGGTTTTTTCAAACTATATCGGCATCAATTTTTTGCAGTGTTGCTCAAAATATTTGTTAAAAATTTTTTTTGTGGTAAAAATGCATACATATTTTTAAGTTTTAAAACTGCACCCATACTTTATGTTGTAAATCTGCAAACATATTTTTTTTTGTATTAAAACTGAACACATATTTTTATGTTGTTAAACTGCACACATTTCTATGCTGTAACAATGCAAACATATTTTTATGTCTTAAAACTGCACACACATTTTATCTCTTCAATTTCTCCTAAAAGGGATGCGGTTTTTTGATACATTGGTGCCTGTTCAGAGATTTACTGCAATCCCTCTTAAAATTCATTTAATAGTTTGCCTGTCATATTGCTCACAGTTCTTATATAAAGCCAAACATTTCATTAAATATTTAAGATTTAAACTTGTACTTGTATTCAAGAGGCAAATTATTGCAAAGTGACATAAATATGTATTGATTTTAATAAAATATGGGAGATAGAAAGAAGGGTGTGGTAGATAGAAGGGAGGGTGTGGGAGATAGAAGGGAGGGTGTGGGAGATAGAAGGGAGGGTGTGGTAGATAGAAGGGAGGGTGTGGTAGATAGAAGGGAGGGTGTGGGAGATAGAAGGGAGGGTGTGGTAGATGGGAGTGTGTGGTAGATAGAAAGAAGGGTATGGCAGATAGAAAGGAGGGTATGGTAGATAGAAAGGAGGGTATGGTAGATAGAAAGGAGGGTATGGGAGATAGAAGGAAGGGTGTGGTAGATAGAAGGGAGGGTGTGGTAGATAGAAAGATGGGTCTTGGAGATAGAAAGGAGGGTGTGGTAGATAGAAAGAAGGGTGTGGTAGATAGAAGGGATGGTGTGAGAAAGGAGGGTATGGTAGATAGAAAGGAGGGTATGGTAGATAGAAAGGAGGGTATGGGAGATAGAAGGAAGGGTGTGGTAGATAGAAGGGAGGGTGTGGTAGATAGAAAGATGGGTCTGGGAGATAGAAAGGAGGGTGTGGTAGATAGAAAGAAGGGTGTGGTAGATAGAAGGGATGGTGTGAGAAAAAGAATGAGATATTTTTATATATTATTTTAAGTATCCGAAAATTTTTTGTTGCCAATTTTACAGAGCATCAGAAGATTTGAGACTTCAAGAGGCAAACTAGAATCTGATGAAACATCTTTAATTTTACAAGTGGAAAGACAACTCAAGCTGAATGAGCAGCAGCGCAGAAGAGGGTAAAAGAGCCATATAAAAACTAATTTTAAATGTTATGTTTAATAGTTACAGCTATCTAACAAGGAATATTACTGGTTAATAGCCACCTGGTAGCTAAAAAGGAAAATGTGTTTTTTAATATCTAGCTAAAAAGGAATATTAGTGTTTTAATAGCTATCTAACAAGGAATATTAGAGTTTTAAAAGCTAGGTAACAAGGAATATTACTGTTTTAATAGCTAGCTTGTCATGGTGCCAAAGTCTTGGGCTTAAAATGTTACTACAGCAAAAGCGTAGGGGTAAACAGGATTGTAGATCTGAATACTTCCATTCCTTTCGACATATCTCCAAAACAACAGAAATCGTTGTCAATTTCTGATTTTAAGCCATGGTGAAGAGTTACAATGTCCACCATGAGACAAAATATATTTCAGTTAATATTGTAGTGGACAAACTGGTTTATTGAGTCTTGGGCTATTTGTTGAAGTCCAGAAAATGCATGCCTAGATATCTATTCTCCTCAATCAAAAAACAAATACTGACAGCAGAATTTGTTCTCTTGTACTCATGTAGGAATATCAATTCCAGCTTTCTCTGAACTGTACCATAGTTAATTACAATTAAAGTATTTTTGTTACACAAATAATTTTGTCTTGTGTGGTTAGGTGTGTCAACATGACAAATACACCTGCGTGGCTAGGTGTGTCAACATGACAAACACACCTGTGTGGTTAGGTGTCAACATGACAAACACACATGTGCGGCTAGGTGTGTCACCATGACAAACACACCTGTGTGGTTAGGTGTGTCAACATAACAAACACACCTGTGTGGTTAGGTGTGTCAACTTGACAAATACACCTGTGTGGCTAGGTGTGTCAACATGACAAACACACCTGTGTGGTTAGATGTGTCAACATGACAAATACACATGTGTGGCTAGGTGTGTCAACATGACAAATACACCTGTGTGGCTAGGTGTGTCAACATGACAAACACACCTGTGTGGTTAGGTGTGTCAACATGATAAACACACCTGTGTGGTTAGGTGTGTCAACTTGACAAATACACCTGTGTGGCTAGGTGCCTAAACAGCAGAATACCAACAAATAATCAATAAATATCCAATAACTTTGGGTAGATATGACTTTCTAACCCATGAAAACTTGACTACAGGCCTCTGCTGTTGGCAGATTGAGCCGATTTCAGCTTTGCATTTATTTATTCCAGAAAAAATACAGAGTTTTGACAAATTTGGCTTTTTATTTGAACTAACTGACCCCATTTTCAATTTCCTCTTTTCCATAATTGTGTCTAAACACATCTGTGACGTAAAGTGAATCCTTACAAATTATTGTCTCTGAATCTTTGCCTTCTATTTCCAATTTTCATTTTAAGATGATTAACTATTTGTACAATTTCTTTCTGTTTGCAGTGCTGAAATAATTAATGAGAGTCTAAGAGAAGAACAAGAGTTTGAAAGTAAACAAAGAATTCTTACAAAAAGACTAAAAACTGTAAGTCACCTAAACAATAATGTGTTTGGGTTAGGTGATCTTGACAGTATTGTGTTAACCCACGAACTGTAGTCCGCCAGTCTAATCGGCTGATTTCCTCTTTCGGCCAATAAAATCTGCCAATAAAAATTGCGTTGAAAGAATAAGCTCCAGTCCAATATTTTACAAATAAAACTACTTCCTTTTAATAATAAATAAACTTCCATTTTTCGCTCCTCTGTTTTTAAAAAAATTTTGTGAGTTATTTTTTACAACAATCTTTATCAAGCAAATTTGTGTAAGTAGATTTTCGTGAAATGGATGAGACCATAGCTGGGCCATCTGGCTTACAAAATAAATCAATTAGGAATCTTTTTTATAATTCTTATTCAGAAGATGATTTTCCAATCACACACGTAGACAATGATAATTCCAAATATTTTTCTAGTGGGTCATAAAGTTAAAGTTCAGACAATTATTTAGACTGAGGCCTAGAACGAGTATGTGTTGCAGCCACAGCATGACTCGTTCAAAACTATGTTGCAGATTATTTTGTACCAACAAAAAATAATTGGCTGTTGTTCTATATATGTTTTCTTATGTTTCATTTTATGGATTAAGTATTTATATAGCAGGTAATTAAATTTTATTTGTTTCATTCTATTTAGTAACGTTTATATTGTTTATGTAATTGTTTGTAACTTGAACGTAATTATGGGTATCGGAAGAATTTTTAAAAAAATCTATTAATAACTAAAACATATACAAATAATACATTCTCTGAAAGATATATAAAAATGTTATCATATTATATAAACATTATAATAATATGCCTTTAAAAAATTGTAGTTTGAGCTACTTGAAAATACAAATTTTCATTATTTTCTTTATTCTTGGTCACTCCAAGGTCAAGGTCACAGTCAGCGAGTATAAAATATCATTAAAAAATAGCTAGTATGATTCCCTACTCAGTTTACTTTCAAATAATATATACTTTATGGGGTCAAGCTATAGTATTTGCATGTGAAAAATCCCCCTTTTCAAAGGTACTCAAAAAGCTCCTAAGTCCCAGCACAGCACAGAAACATAACATACACCGTACATGGGTTAAGCTTGTCTGCAAATTACCAAGAACCTTTCTACAAAATAGGTTAGGGTTAGGGTTTGGTGATCTTAACAGTATTGTGTTGAGCTTGTTGGCATATTACCATGAACCTTTCTACTGCCCATGATACTAGGTTAACAAGTTAGACAAGAACAAAATCTGTCATTACCTAGAACTTTTTTTTTTAATACAAATATCATCAAGTTAAAAGTGATTTCGATTTATAGTTTTAAAGCTAGTCACAGACTGTGCTATAATCAGTGGAAAGAATAGTTGCTATGCTAATCCCAAACTGTGCTCTAAGTGGTGGAAAGTATAGTTGCTATGCTAGTCCCACACTGCTATAAGTAGTGGAAATTATAGTTGCTATGCTAGTCCCAGACTGCTATAAGTGGTGGAAAGTATAGTTGCTATGCTAGTCCCAGACTGCTTTAAGTGGTGGAAAGTATAGTTGCTATGCTAGTCACAGACTGCTGTAAGTGGTGGAAAGTATAGTTGCTATGCTAGTCCCAGACTGCTATAAGTGGTGGAAAGTAAAGTTGCTATGCCAGTCCCAGACTGCTATAAGTGGTGGAAAGTATAGTTGCTATGCTAGTCCCAGACTGGTATAAGTGGTGGAAAGTATAGTTGCTATGCTAGTCCCAGACTGTGATATAAGAGGTGGAAAGTATAGTTGCTATGATAGTCCCAGACTGCTATAAGTGGTGGAAAGTATAGTTGCTATGCTAGTCCCAGACTGTGATATAAGAGGTGGAAAGTATAGTTGCTATGCTAGTCCCAGACTGCTATAAGTGGTGGAAAGTATAGTTGCTATGCTAGTCCCAGACTGCTATAAGTGGTGGAAAGTATAGTTGCTATGCACCAACTTCAGAATTTAATGACGAAGAGGTGGTCGACTTCTACCATCAGCTCCAGGATGTGCTAAACCAAACCCCCAAGAAAGACGTTCTTGTTGTTCAAGGTGATTGGAATGCCAAAATAAGCGAAGACGCCTATGAAAACTGGAAAGGAACTTGTGGACACCACTGTAACGCAACTTCAAACGAGAGAGGTCTGAGGCTTTTGGAATTCGCCAGCTTCAACGAACTCATTCTGGCCAACACATTGGGTGCACATAAAATGTCCATGAAAACCACATGGCACAGCCCCAATGGGAAACACCACAACCAGATTGACTACATCATGTTGCAAACACGCTTCCGGTCTAGTATAAACATTGCCAAGACTCACAGCTTCCCTGGAGCTGACATTGGAAGCGACCAAGATCTAATCATGATGAGCTTTAGGGAAATACAAGAATCAAACAGGGAAATACCAGAATCAAATTCGACCTTGAAAAGCTGAAGGATCCCAAAGGAGCAGAAGCCTTCCAAGCAGTAATAAGAGGAAAATTTGCAGCGCTTAACATCATAGATGCCGACTGTTCAGACATGGACACATTGATTGATAAGTTCAACACAGCTGTGACAAACACAGCTCACGACATCCTTGGTAAATATCGACCAACCCAAAAACCATGGGTGACAGCTGACATCCTTGATCTGTGTGATAAACGGAGACAGTTAAAGAAAACAAAGATGGTAGACACAGAGGCAGCAAAATAATATAGGACAGTTAATCAAGCCATCAAAAAAGGTATGAGGAGGGCAAAGAAGAACTGGATTGAAGAGCAATGCTACGACATTGAAAACTGCTTTAAGAATAACAACAGCAACAAGGCATACCAGTTGGTGAAAGAACTAACCACTGCAAAACAAGGTCGTACTACTTCTTCTTCTTCTATATATTAAGGGCCCACGATCAATTCATTGATCATTTTGGCTCCTATACATGTAGAGGGGATTTGCAATGTTTCTGTGCCTGGTGTTGATGAAGACATTTCACTGATTTCCAGTGCCACTTTCTGAGGGAATCATGCGCTGGGGGTTTGAAGGCCTGAGGCAATAGACACAAAAGAGTCTAGTGTTGTCGCCTCAACTGTTCCTTTTGAAAGCTTGCTCCAGTCCCTGATTGTCTTGGGCAGGAATGAGCAGTTCCTATACTGGCTTCTTGCTGGTATGAGCCTGAATTGCCTGTCATGGCCTTGTCACTGTCTATGGGAGAGAGGGATGAGTTTCTGTTTAATACTGGACCAGTAGACCAGCCCATTAATCATCTTGTACATAATGGAGAGCCTGGATTGTCATCGGCGTTCATCCGATGGTGACCAGCCTAGTGTTTCCAACATTCCTAAAGCGGTTCAGGACAAAGCGTGCTGCCTGTCGCTGGAACGCCTCCAACCTGTCAATGCTCTTCTGGGTAAATGGGTCCCAGACTGAAGATGCATAATCTAAAACTGGACGGACAAAGGCTTTATATGCTCTTTCTTTCACACATAAGTTGCCAATCTTTAGATTAGGCCTTAAGAACCCCAGGGTCTTGTTTGCTTGGTTACATACATTGTTAATATGCTCGTCCCAGCGGACCTCTCTTTGAATGGTAAAATCCAGCTACTTTACGGAGGAAACTGGCTCAAGTATATGGCCGTGCAGTTTGTATTGGTAGTGTACAGGATAAAAATAGTAAATGTTTGACCGAGGAAAATGTTATCCTAAAAAGATGGACTGAATATTGAATATAAAGATAGACCCAGAGATCCTTAATGTCCCTCCAGCAACAGACAATGATAACTACCCTTTTCTCCAAGCAGAAGTAGAAACAGCAGTCCAAGCACTCCAAATAAGAAAGGCCGCCGGGAGTGGATAACGTCCCTGCCGAGTTGGTGAAACAGGGAGGAGAAGCAATGAAAAGTGCCCTATTCAATATTTGTAACAAAATACGGCTGACAGGGGAATGGCCCAAACCATGGACCCAATCGCTCATCATCACCCTCCCCAAGAAAGGTAACCTACAACTATGCCAAAACTATCGCACTATTAGCCTAATAAGCCATCCAAGCAAGGCCATGCTGAAGGTCATATTGAACCGACTATGACCATATGCCGACATAATCATTGCTGAAGAACAGGCGGGCTTCAGGCAAGGACGTGGCACTACTGAGCAGATCGTAAACCTCCGAACACTATGTGAGAAATTTACTCAATACCAACAAAACCTATACCACGTCTATGTGGATTTCAAGAAGGCATTTGACAGGGTTTGGCATGCTGCTTTATGGGCTACCATGAGGCACTACATCAACACAAACCAAATCAGAATGATATGCAACCTCTATGATAAGGCCACCAGTGCAGTCTTCTTCGACAATAACATAGGAGAATTGTTCAAGACCACGGTTGGAGTACAACAAGGCTGCTTGCTGTCCCCACCCTGTTCAACATCTTCCTAGAGAGAATTATGTCAGATGCTCTGGAAGCACACAAAGGGACAGTCAGCATTGGTGGCATAAATATCACCAACCTACACTTTGCAGATGACATAGATGGACTGGCTGGGAACGAAGAAGAGCTAGTCAACCTAGTAAAGCGTCTCGACAAGACTTCATCATCCTATGGCATGCAAATCAGTGCAGAAAATGCCTGCGAATCCTGGACATTAACAGCAGAACTTGAAAGGATAATAAAGGCCATGGAGATGAGATGTTTCAGAAGCATTTTTGGCATCTGCTACAGGGACCCTATCTCCAATGATCAAGTGAAAGAAAGGGTTCATCAGGTAATTGGGCAGTACTATGACCTCCTGGTGACTGTAAAAAAGCGCAAACTACAACAAGGAAACAAAGGATAGCCAAAGAAATCATGCAGGGCACCACAAAAGGAGGGAGAAGAAGACTAAGAAAAAGATGGGACGATAACATCAATCTACTAGTCATTCACTCTAAGTCATTAAACACTGTTTACTTTTCACAGCTGAAACAGGACATTGCTCATCAACTGGCAAAAACAGGAGTATATGAGGAGAGAAGAGTCAACCTTTTCAAAGGTATGCTGCTTTTGATATTACACATTCAGTTTTAGCTACTACATTAAAATACCAGTGCATGGTAAGAAATTTAGAAAACTGGTTACTTAAGGATGAGTTGCCATCACTGCTAGTACTTCTTATTGTCACTGTTAGTACTTCTTATGGTCACTGCTAGTACTTCTTATGGTCACTGCTAGTATTCTTATGTCACTGCTAGTACTTCTTATTGTCACTGCTAGTACTTCTTATGGTCACTGCTAGTACTTCTTATGGTCACTGCTTGTACTTCTTATATTCACTGCTAGTACTTCTTATTGTCACTGCTAGTAATTCTTATTGTCACTGCTAGTACTTCTTATGGTCACTGCTAGTACTTCTTATTGTCACTGCTAGTACTTCTTATGGTCACTGCTAGTACTTCTTATGGTCACTGCTTGTACTTCTTATGGTCACTGCAAGTACTTCTTATTGTCACTGCTAGTACTACTTATTGTCACTGCTAGTACTTCTTATGGTCACTGCTAGTACTTCTTATGGTCACTGCTAGTACTTCTTATGGTCACTGCTAGTACTTCTTATGGTCACTGCTAGTATTTCTTATTGTCACTGCTAGTAATTCTTATTCTCACTGCTAGTACTTCTTATTGTCACTGCTAGTACTTCTTATGGTCACTGCTAGTACTTCTTATGGTCACTGCTAGTACTTCTTATGGTCACTGCTAGTATTCTTATGTCACTGCTAGTACTTCTTATGGTCACTGCTATCACTTATTATCACTGCTAGAACTTCTTATCCTCAAAGACCACAACTTATTGACAAAGACCATTCCTTATAGTCAAACACCCCATAATCAGACACCACTCCTTATCATCAGACACCACTCCTTATTGTCAGACACCACCTCTATTTGCCCTAAAACCACTGTCTTTGTCTCTGCTTATTTTGCTCTTTATGTTTTTTTAGATCTTAAAGAGAAGGAGAAGATTAAAGAGGAAGAGGCTTTGTATGTAGGTCAGTTGGATAGTCAGTAAGTGCATCATTAATTTTTTTTTTAAAGATCTCTTTAAATATTTTTAATTAGACCTTCACAAATAGCTGGTACTAAGTGTGTGCCTATAATTAAATGAAAAGAGAAAATTTACATTTTTAAATGTTTGCTTTTGGTCTGTCAATGCCAGTCCACTATTTGTATGAAATAAGAAACTACCTTTATTGTCCTAACCCCGCCTCTTCTTTCATTTGGATGCCGAGGGGCTTGCTCAGTAAGGGCCTACAGGTTGGTTCATTAAAACCTACAGGTTGGTCCAGTAAGAACCCACAGGTTGGTCCAGTAAGGGCCTACAGGTTGGTCCAGTAAGGGCCTACAGTTTGATCCAGTAAGAAACTACAGGTTGGTCCAGTAAAGGCCTTTGGGTTGGTCCAGTAAGGGCCTACAGGTTGATCCAGTAAAGGCTTACAGTTTGGTCCAGTAAGAACCTACAGGTTGGTCCAGTAAGAACCCACAGGTTGGTCCAGTAAGGGCCTACAGGTTGGTTCATTAAAGGCCTACAGTTTGTTCCAGTAAGGGCCTACAGTTTGGTCCAGTAGGAACCTACAGGTTGGTCCAGTAAGGGCCTACAGTTTGGTCCAGTAAGAACCTACAGGTTGGTCCAGTAAGAACCTACAGGTTGGTCCAGTAAGGACCTTCAGGTTGGTCCAGTAACAACCTACAGTTTGGTCCAGTAAAAATGTACAGGTTGGTCCAGAAAGCACCTAGTTCGGTCCAGTAAGAACCTACAGGTTGGTCAAGTAGGAAACTACAGGTTGGTCCAGTAAGAACCTACAGGTTAGACCAGTAAGGACCTACAGTTTGGTCCAGTAAGAACTTACTGGTTGGTCCAGTAAGGGCCTACAGGTTGATCCAGTAAAGGCTTACAGTTTGGTCCAGTAAGAACCTACAGGTTGGTCCAGTAACAACCCACAGGTTGGTCCAGTAAGGGCCTACAGGTTGGTTCATTAAAGGCCTACAGTTTGTTCCAGTAAGGGCCTACAGTTTGTTCCAGTAAGGGCCTACAGTTTGGTCCAGTAGGAACCTACAGGTTGGTCCAGTAAGGCCCTACAGTTTGGTCCAGTAAGAACCTACAGGTTGGTCCAGTAAGAACCTACAGGTTTGTCCAGTAAGGACCTTCAGGTTGGTCCAGTAACAACCTACAGTTTGGTCCAGTAAAAATGTACAGGTTGGTCCAGAAAGCACCTAGTTCGGTCCAGTAAGAACCTACAGGTTGGTCAAGTAGGAAACTACAGGTTGGTCCAGTAAGAACCTACAGGTTAGTCCAGTAAGGACCTACAGTTTGGTCCAGTAAGAACTTACTGGTTGGTCCAGTAAGGGCCTACAGGTTGATCCAGTAAAGGCCAACAGTTTGTTCCAGTAAGGGCCTACAGTTTGGTCCAGTAGGAACCTACAGGTTGGTCCAGTAAGGGCCTACAGTTTGGTCCAGTAAGAACCTACAGGTTGGTCCAGTAAGGGCCTACAGTTTGGTCCAGTAAGAACATACAGGTTGGTCCAGTAAGGGCCTACAGTTTGGTCCAGTAAGAACCTACAGGTTGGTCAAAAGAGAAGATACAGGTTGGTCCAGTAAGAACCTACAAGTTGGCCCAGTAGGCCCAGTAAGGGCCTACAGGTAGGTCCAGTAGAAACCTACAGGTTGGTCCAGTAAGAACCTACAGGTTGGTCCAGTAAGGCCCTACAGGTTGGTCAAGTAAGGGCCTACAGTTTGGTCCAGTAAGAACCTACAGGTTGGTCCAGTAAGGGCCTACAGTTTGGTCCAGTAAGAACATACAGGTTGGCCCAGTAAGGGCCTACAGGTTGTCCAGTAAGAACCTACAGGTTGGTCCATTAAGAACCTACAGGTTGGTCCAGTAATGGCTTACAGCTTGGTCCAGTAAGAACTACAGGTTAGTCCAGTAAGGGCCTACAGGTTGGTCCAGTAAAGGCCTACTGTTTGGTCCAGTAAGGGTCAACAGGTTGGTCCAAAAAGAACATACAGGTTGGTCCAGTAAGGGCCTACAGGTTGCGTCTTTTATGAACATGCCAAAACATGATTTCCCTATGATAAATTGACCTGGCAAGTGTTGCCTTGTCAGTTATTGGTCATCATAGATGTAAAATTGACAGATGTAGTTTTCTTAAGTTGTAAATGTTTAATTGATTTCTGATCTCCCATTTATTGCTATACAGGCTTCAAATAACTAAAAGAAACCTAAGTGAAAAAGCCGAAGATGTGGGTAGAATGCAAGCAGAGAACATAGAAATATCACAGGAACTGATAGAGCTTGAAGAATCGCACAAGTAAGCTTTTCTTATCTAGCTCATTGCTTAGTGCTTGACCCTTTAACCCACGAACTGTCGCCGGCCGATTTCTTCTTCCAATAATGTGTTGGCCGATAAAAATTGATTAATTTTCCCCAGAAATTAACAAAAATTTCAATAAGTATTTCCAGCATTGAATGAATTTAAGAAAAAAATTCTTCAAAATGCACAAGTAAATTATTTTACCAGGCAACCAAAGCAACCAAAGCTTTGACCTAACCTGTTACAGTATTGACATAACCTGTGACACAACTCGGTACTGAACCCACGAACCGTCCACTGTATTATTCTGTACTGTGCGGGAAATTTAGAGCTTTTTGGGTGCCTTTGTAAAATGTGATTGTTGACATGCAAATACCATAGCTAGACCCCACAAAGCATACATTTATTGAAATTAGTGGGGAATCATAGTGGCTTTTTTTAAAATAATAATTTATACTCGCTGACCGTGACCTTGGAGTGGCCAAGAATAAAAAAAATAATGAAACATTTTCTTTTCGCATACCTTAAACTACAATTTTTTAAAGGCATATTATTATAATGTTTATATAATTATTTATCTTTCATAAAATGTATTCTAATGGTATTATAATTAATTTTAATATGCCAATTATTACGAATTATCAGAGCTACCAGTAAAGCCAATCTGTCAAAGGTTTAATTATTGTCAGTGCTACAAGTAAAGTCAGTCTGTCATAGATTTAATTATTGTCAGTGTTATAAATAAAGTCAATCTGTCATAGATTTAAATATTGTCAGTGTTACAAGTAAAGTTAATCTGTCATTTATTTAGCCATTTTTACACATTGTCCTTTTTTAAAGATGGCCTCCTTTCTTAGACTATCAGTAGCAAACAGGTTTCTTTGGTCATCACTTAGGTGTTAGGGTTAGCCTCCTTTCTTAGACTATCAGTAGCAACTAGGTTTCTTTGGTCATCACTTAGGTGTTAGGGTTAGCCTCCTTTCTTAGACTATCAGTAGCAACCAGGTTTCTTTGGTCATCACTTAGGTGTCTTTCTTCAAGCCATCAGGACGCAGCACTCCTTACTTACATCATTAATACACAGCTATCCTTACTTACATCATTAATACCAGTAAGAGCCATCATTACATTTTATAAAGTATTTTATACTTAAAACTTTGTTTTTAGAGGTCGTTTAATCTTAGATTAAATGCACATTCCTTGTTTGGAATCATATTGTATTTAGTTGCAAAAAGCATGAAATTAAAAAAATGTGTTGGGGTATCCAGGTCTGTGATGCGTGTATATTGTATCTTTTAATTGTATTTCAGGGCAGTTTTAGCTCAATTAAATAACCAAATAGAAGAACAAAAAGATTTGTTATCAAGAGAAAGAAATGAGAGGTAAGTATATTTTAGTTCCTTGTACTATAGTAGTTCTGCAGTTGCTCTTTTTTGCAAAAAATACAATGACCACTACTTGTTTTCTAAAAATTAAAAACTATTTATTTGTTGTGATATTTTTTCCTTTGATGCATTCATCAAGAAGAAAGAGCAGGAAAGTCATCATCTTGGAAATAAGAAAAGAGCAAGCCAATGTGACCTACTTTCTTAGTGTGCCACATTTCAGCTCTTCCCATTTCTACTGAAGTTGCAAGTTTGAACATTGAAGAGGCTGGACCCTTTGCTAACATTTTTATTATGCTTTGAATATTGAACTGAAACACATGGTAGACGTAGGTTTTAAATATAAACTTTAATTATAATTTTTTTGCACTAAAATTTGTAAAAAGAAAACAAAAAAACAAGACTGTGACAAATATTTGTTTGTACAGGATGGAACTTCAACAAAATAAAGATGAAGTTGGAAAAAAACTACAGGAGATAAAAATTGAACAACAGGTTTTTATGAAATCAGTTACAGAAGCTATTCAAGAAGGAAAAAAGCAACATGTCCAACTATCAAATGAGGTAAAAGCTGACAAGATTCAGTTTATAAGATTGTTTAAGTGCAAGATTCAGTTTTTTTTTCGATTGTTTAATGTGTAAATTTAAGTTCAAAACATATGTAATGTTCAGTTAGATAGTTAATATTCAGATTGTTAGACATGTAAGGTTGAGTTGTTTTTTTTTTTTAGATATTTAAGATTTAGTCTCTTAAACAATGCACTCAATTTTTTAGATATTTAAATATTTAAGTTATTCCATTTATATGTATAGATATTCTTTACGTTCTCATCTCAGTGATTGCTTTAAATATTATTGTAATCACCAGTTTTGTTGTATCTTTTGTTAGGGTGTGCAGCTTCAAAGGGAAGTCATTGAAGATGAAGAATTAATAAAACAAACAGAAGAAAAACTCAAGAGCTGTTTGCAGTGTTACGAAGAAATGTTCAATACATTTCAATACAGAGTAAATACAATAGAGGTAATTGCTCACTTGTGTATTTGCCTCACTCACTCCTTCAATAATAACAGATACAGATTAATACCTTTCGTTTTTTTCTTGTTATGAGTGTTTGTGGAAGAAGGCTTTAGCAAAAAATAGCCATTGTTATTTTGTTTTATATTTAAAGCTACCCCATGTCTTGTTCTTAATATTCCCAATAGTCTTCCAGTACCTGCCCAAATAGTTGTGGAGGTGAATAGTTCAACTAAAGGCTTATGAGTATTTGGTGTTCTCCAGCCCCCAAAAATCACACCTCCTCCTCCCCCCCCCCCCCCCCCCCCCCCCCAGACTGTTTCTTGTTTTATACTAAAAAGTCCCTCAAATCTTTATAGTCTTCCCGTACCTGCCCCAATAGTTGTGGAGGTGAATAGTTCAACTAAAGGCTTATGAGTATTTGGTGTTCTCCAGCTCCCAAAAATCACACCTCCTCCTCCCCCCTCCCCACCCCCCCCCCCCCAGACTGTTTCTTGTTTTATACTAAAAAGTCCCTCAAATCTTCATAGGTCATTGTATCAGATTGTATTTATTTTGAACAAAAGAATTTTTTTTACTTTGTAAAATAATTTAAAATTGTTACTTTAATTTTTTTTGAGAGATTCTTTCATAAAGGGAAAAATGATGACCCATTTTTCAGATTGCTCTTTAAATTAAAGTTTAATTCAGGATGATTTAATACATTTAATATTTCAAATTCTTTAATATCAACAAATGTTAAAGTTTGTCTGAAAAACTATAAATACCAGCTGGCACTCCATGGCTTTACTGATACACTGGCGACAGAAAACATGCATTTACATCCCATGGCCAAAACAAACGTGCATTTACTTCACATGGCGAAAACAAACATGAATTTACCGTGATGTACATGAATAAGAAAAATGAATTCATTAAATTGAACGAATTAAACACTATATTTTATGCGTTTAAAGCTAATAAAAGTATTTATCAAGCAATAACGTTAAATAGACTTATTACAACGCGCGAAATTGTAACAATGTGCAACTTAATTTTATACATATATTATGAATATAAATAAACACTGGAACAAGATATGCTTAGGATTGAAAAAAAATTGACAGGAAAATATAAGAATGTTTCGGCTAAACACCTTCTTCAGTTGACAAGACAAAACAAGAAACAACAAATGGAAATTAAAAACTTATGTGATCAAAATGTGGTTCTCTTTGCTTCTGTTTAGAAATGAAAACCAAATTATGAATGTGTTGATTTCAATGAATATAAATATTTTTTTTTTGGATTTATTTCAAGACAAAAATATGTGAAATGCAATCAAAGATGTTAGAACAAAAAAGCAAACTATCTGAGGAGACGCCCATATTTCAACATATGCAGGAGTTTTTTGAAAAAAGAAATGCAGACTATGACCTTAAAAAGAAATCTCTTGTTGGTGAGTTACAAAATAACAAGATTAGGATTAAATAAGGATGAATGCTTTTCAATATCAAAAGATCAAAAAGGGGTCTTTTACAGAATGAGTGAAGATATTGTAGGGCGACCACATTTTATAGAATAGTAAACATATGAAAGTTTAATGTCATGATAAGCAAAAACCCCTGGAAGTTGTCAGTCTATCATAAAGATGCTGAAATTTGTCAGTCTATCATAAAGATGCTGAAATTTGTCTGTCGATCATAAAGATGCTGAATTATTTCCAAGTGAAGTAGATGGCAATATAGATGGCAATATTTCTGGCAGCCAAGCAAGTTAAGCAGACTGTCATTAGATGTGATTGGAAATAAACTTCCCTTTCAGTTAGTGTTTATGATGGATTGATGGATTTTTTATTTGCAACTGACGGTTACTGACAGATGTAGATTTATTAAAGCTTGTTTTTAATTTTCAATCTTTGCTCAAACCTGAGACAAAACATCAAGGATAACTCTGTAGTAGTCTCCTTCAGAAGGATAACTCTGTTTGTTGTAGTCTCCTTCAGAAGGATAACTCTGTTTGTTGTAGTCTCCTTCAGAAGGATAACTCTGTCAGTAGTAGTCTCCTTCAGAAGGATAACTCTGTTTATAGTTAAGTATCATACTGTCATTCACAGTATCACACAGTCATTAAAAGTATCACACAGTTATTTAAAGTATCATACTTAAAAGAAGATATCTTAATTTTCAATCAATTGATTATTTTCAGGTTTAAAGAACAAAAGATTTGGTTTGGAAGATGATTTAAAGCGAGCAAGAAAAGACAGAGATGAGCTGAAATTACCACAGGTATATAGCAGAAGGTTAGGGTTAGGTTTATAGCAGCAGGTTTACCAGTCACTTATTATTTAGTTTTTAATCATTAAATTAATTTAGATAGGGAAAGGTTACAATAGCTTATTGATCTGGGCCATTTCCTCAGCATTCAAAGCAACAGATGAACTTCTGTATTTTAACTTCAGCTTCATTTCAGCCTCAGTCTTAACATGTGCTTTATTATCAGCCATGGTCTTATTTTGAACTTAATTATCAGCCATGGTCTTAATATGAGCTTCACTTTCATCAGCCACGGTCTTAATATGAGCTTCATTATCAGCCATGGTCTTATTATCCTTGCTATGCTAAAACATACATTGAAGAAATCTTGTATTGTCAAATAATTTTGTGGAGTTAAGCTGTTTTTTCTATATTTCTTATCAATAAAGATAAAGTAAGTCAAACTGAAGAGAGATAATTGTCTTGTCAAGGCATGAGTATAGTCATACATAACCACCCATCATGCAAGTTTGAACTTTTATCAATTTTGGGACCGCACTCTCTCTAAAACCACCCAGAACTATTTAATTATTCAATCTCATGATTTTAATATTCTTTTGGTTGTTCTAGTCTCTGTTGCTGGTCAAGGAAATCTAAGATCAAACTTGAAACTCTTAACTAAAGACACAATATTCTTTTGGTTGTTCTAGTCTCTGTTGCTGGTCAAGGAAATCTAAGATCAAACTTGAAACTCTTAACTAAAGACACAATATTCTTTTGGTTGTTCTAGTCTCTGTTGCTGGTCAAGGAAATCTAAGATCAAACTTGAAACTCTTAACTAAAGACACAATAATCTTTTGGTTGTTCTAGTCTCTGTTGCTGGTCAAGGAAATCTAGGATCAAACTTGAAACTCTTAACTAAAGACGCAATATTCTTTTGGTTGTTCTAGTCTCTGTTGCTGGCCAAGGAAATCTAAGATCAAACTTGAAACTCTTAACTAAAGACACAATATTCTTTTGGTTGTTCTAGTCTCTGTTGCTGGTCAAGGAAATCTAAGATCAAACTTGAAACTCTTAACTAAAGACGCAATATTCTTTTGGTTGTTCTAGTCTCTGTTGCTGGTCAAGGAAATCTAAGATCAAACTTGAAACTCTTAACTAAAGACGCAATATTCTTTTGGTTGTTCTAGTCTCTGTTGCTGGTCAAGGAAATCTAAGATCAAACTTGAAACTCTTAACTAAAGACGCAATATTCTTTTGGTTGTTCTAGTCTCTGTTGCTGGTCAAGGAAATCTAAGATCAAACTTGAAACTCTTAACTAAAGACGCAATATTCTTTTGGTTGTTCTAGTCTCTGTTGCTGGTCAAGGAAATCTAAGATCAAACTTGAAACTCTTAACTAAAGACGCAATATTCTTTTGGTTGTTCTAGTCTCTGTTGCTGGTCAAGGAAATCTAAGATCAAACTTGAAACTCTTAACTAAAGACACAATAATCTTTTGGTTGTTCTAGTCTCTGTTGCTGGTCAAGGAAATCTAAGATCAAACTTGAAACTCTTAACTAAAGACACAATATTCTTTTGGTTGTTCTAGTCTCTGTTGCTGGTCAAGGAAATCTAAGATCAAACTTGAAACTCTTAACTAAAGACGCAATAATCTTTTGAAGATTTGTTTCCATTTTTTCAAGTCATTTAAATCTTGACAACTCAGGGGAAAAAGTGAAATGTTATCTGGTGTCAGTGCCATTGTGTCAACACTGACAACATCACAGAAGAAAAACAAAAACAATAATAGACTGTAATAAATGTGGACCTGAGGAAGGATGTAAATGTGTGATAGCAAGTTCAAGGTCTTATACATAACTCATTTGGTATAGATTTGTTAAAATCCCATGAAAGCTTATACGTTCTTTTAAAATTTTCTAGTTTTAAATCTTATACCAGATATCTTTATAGCATTTTTGGTCAGCAGATTAGCCTATTAAAAGGTCATACAAGGCTGATGATTATTCAGTGACAGTCTGTCAATTACCCATTATTTGCCAAATAATTTGTGTGCAACCCTGTTTTTTGGCAATCTTTGAAACATTTTTTCTCCTGTCATCCTCTGGATAGAATTTACTGGTCAATAGTTAGGTTAGGATAATGGGGGTGGTGGTGGAGACTGCAATCATGTTAGGTAAAAGGAAATAAGTAGCAACAGGTAGGGGAAAACCTGAAAAATAGGTAAAATAAAGCAATGAAGTTTATATGTCTTAGGTAACTCTTCAAAACAATTTGAAAGACTTCCGTAATCAAGTGATTGAACAGATAAACATTCAAGGCAAAAGTCTGCAGGACATGGAACAGTTGATTTTTCTAGCTGGGTGCCAAATGAAGATGATTATGGAGGAAAATCAAAGACTGGAAATGGTTAGTCATATTTATTATTATGTTTTACACTAGATAAAGATTTGATACTATGTTTCCATAATATATCCCACATTTATAATCATAATAAAACAATATTATAATTGACATATTTAAAAATAAACTACATCATACGATTTACATAAGTGTATCATTTAAAAAGAAGATGAAAGGTATCTCAAAATGTATTAAGAGATTTTGCATACAACTGAAATGATACAAGTTTGTAGCTTGCATACTACTGAATTGATACAAGTGTGTAGTGTGATTCAAATATAGTGATACAAGTGTGTAGAGTGATACCATTGAAATGATACAAATGTGTAGCGCGATACAAGAGCGATAAAAGTATGATACAAATGAAGTGATACAAGTGGGATACAGATGTGATGCTAGAGTGTTTGTGTGATAAATTTTTGACAAATGTGAACATCCTTAAAAATATGATTGCCTTTTAGTATTAATAAGATAAAACAAGATTCTTTTATAAGATAAGATTTTTTATTGATCCAAAAAAATAAGAATTGTTTTTTGATTAGACTGTACACATTCATTTTCAGCACATAAATAAATACATTTTCTTTGTTAAAATATGTCATATTTTAACCAAGACAACATTTTACAATTAGAACAATTTAAACACAAGACATCTGAAGTATTTCTCTAATGTAAAAATGAGCCATCATATACAACAACAAAAAAGAAAAAAAAAAAGGCTCATTTGGTAATAATAATGAGTTAAATAGTGATAATGATAATTAAGATTTCATGAGTGCCAGGGGAAAAAAGGGGGTGGGTGGACACCACACTGGTAAATTCTTACATACTAGGGACATTTTTGTGATGAAGGGGGTGGGATGTGATCTTAAGTATCTGTGATGAAGGGGTGGGATGTGATCTTAATTATCTGTGATGAAGGGGGTGGGATGTGATCTTAAATATCTGTGATGAAGGGGGTGGGGATGTGATCTTAAGTATCTGTGATGAAGGGAGTGGGGTGTGATCTTAAGTATCTGTGATGAAGGGGGTGCGGATGTGATCTTAGGTAGCTGTGGTGAAGGGTTGTGGGATGTGATCGTAAGTATCTGTGATGAAGTAGTTTTGATGGCACCAAAAACAAACAAATAAAAATAACATGTTGTTACATTTTTTACTTAGTGATTCAAAAGTTATAAATATACAAGGTATAATTAGTCTTAAAAACTTTTGTGGTGTATATTTGGCCAAGAACTTAATAGTTTTGGCTTAAATAAATAAATGATATATTCCTGTCAAGGCATGTCAGAAGCTGGAGAGTGATATGACAGATCTAGGACAACAGATTCTAGATAATAAGAGAATAAAGAAAATTGCTGAAGAGGACTTGGTTTTTCACAAAAGTAAGTGAAATATGTATTTAAAACTTCTTTCCACCCAGTGCGGGCTTTTTGAATGACAGGGGTTAACAGTCATGACATATACCATATTATTGTACAAAAAGCTTCTTTTGTGAGATCCACATTATTGTGACAATAAATTAAAATTAATACAGTTAATTCTCATTGTGTTATTGAGTACAGGTATGTATGTTACAAAAATATATAATTTTACAAAACTTTCTCAAATTAACCCATCCTCAACTGGGTTCCTTTGAAAATATTTGACAAAATTTAGCCCAAGATATTTATTAAACACAAGTTTAGCTCAAAATCTATTATAGCTTTTACCTCACTGTACCTGAATTCTTAACTTTTACCCCACTGAACCCTCATCAGACTTCCTAACATTTACCCCTTTGTACCCTAATCTAACTTCCTTACTTTTACACCACTATACCCTAATCTGACTTCCTAACATTTACCCCACTGTACCCTCATCAGACTTTCTCACATTTAATCTAACTTCCTAACTTTTACCCCACTGTACCCTAATCTGACTTCATAACTTTTACTAGAAGAATGATTAATTCAATAAAATAGTTAAGCTCATAACTAATGGTCTAAATCATTTTTTTTTACAAAGACATACTGTTTATTTTCATAACTGAACATTTGTTGTTTAATCAGATGACCTGAAAGAAAAATTTCAAACAGAACACTCTATGCAAGAGGTAAAGTTTGAGCTCAATGAAAATCTCTTATATTTATTATATCTTTGTTTTCATCAAATATTTCTACAAATCTGGTTATATTTATTATTTCTTTGTTTTCATGAAAGATGTCTACACATATTGTGTCAGAATTCAAATAAACATTCGTATTAACTGAAAAAATACCTGGAGAATGTGTAAAATATTATTCTGAATAATGTTTACTATTGCGATATACTTGGGGTGATGGCCAAATAGGTGTGAGAATCACTATTTTAAAATAACAGCTAAATAACATTTATAGATATCATGGTGACATGGACAGTACTAGTGCAGCTTAGATTTAATAGCCCTTTGATGACATGGACAGTATTTACATAACTTACATTTATTGGCCTCCTAGTGACAACAAGAAATAAGTGTGACTGTAGTGCAGACTATATCAATTTTGTGAGTTTTATAAATAGTGTCTGAAAAACTTTTAGCAATGGACTTAAATAGTTCCTCAAATGAACTTCCAGATAAGACTATTGAGAGTTATTTCTCATTAGGAGATAAATTTAACAAATACAAATTACTAAACCATACAAGTTCACAAGGCGTTTTTAGCAATAATGGAGAATCTATATATTTGCAAAAGGAAAAATGTTTAATATGTATAAATCACCTTGAGGAAGGGGGAAAATTCCACATAATTTAAAAGTGATTAGACTTTCTTGTACTTTACATTACAATTATTATTTAAGACAGATGAACACCATTATATTCATTTTTGTACTCTGTGAACAGTCTATGTTATGGTCCCCATATATAATTCATTGTTGTACTTTGTGAACAGTCAGTGCTCTGGTCTTGATATAGAAATATGGTTTTCCTTTTAAATAATTATGTTTTAAGGTAGCACAGCCACCCAGAATTAAGCACCAACAATGTAAAAAATCCTGACAACAAACTTATGAACATATAATCATAAAAATTGGTAAGAATGTAGCCAAGATGTAGAATAAGGAAAATAAGTGAATAGTTTACTGAATGAGTAAAGACCTTAATAAAAAAATTTGAACAAAATATTATGTTCGCTAAAATTTAAAAATTTTTAAAAAATGTCAAGAACTGTAGCACAGATATAAACCTAAGTACCAAGTACACAGCTACAATACTTTCCTTATATCAAAAAGACATGTAGGGCTATGGTGTGAAGCACTCTCAGTGTACTACTGGACCATCTGGTTTGTATTTTATATTGAACTTAATTTTTTTTTTACAAAAGCAGGATACATTCCCACATATCTAGTCAAGTATAGGCAAATTTTGGTTCACACAATAGTCCCTACATCTGTGAGTATGTGTGCGAAATTTCAGCACAATTTGACAAAAATTGTGTGAGAAAATAAACAGGAAAACAGTTAGTAAAAACTTTATGCAAGCTAAAAACAACTTTTTTCCTACCTTAAAGTATTCAATACCCTCCTCCTTGGTAAGGATGGCCCTCTCTTTCAGCATCTTCTTCATCAGCACCCGGTCTTCAGTGCCTTATGGTCTGCTGAAGAGACTTGTCTGTCACTGTGTACTTTTCACACTAGAACCCTCATGTGTCAATATGCAATCTTCATCATGAGTGGCTGCCCGTGTTCTATACCTTTCAGTATTGTGGTCTTGCTTTTTCCAATAATCACATGATTTGCAGGCTTTGCTGTTTACTTGAGAGTCTAGAATCTTTCCATTGTTCATGCCAATGGTTGTAACAATACCTATTTTGGATGAGTGGCCAACTGTCATCCAAGTACCATCGCTAGAAACATGAATGGTTCTGTTGTCATCACCTTCTATCTCTTCAACCTGTTCATTCTCCAGTGCTGCAGCAGCTTGCATGCTGATCTCTCCTCATACAGATGTACATGCTTTATGCAGGGTTTTTTTTTATTAGCTCTGTAGCTACTTTACTCTACTGATTTTGGTAGGACCATTATACCACAAGAGATCTCTAGCCCTGACTTGTCCGCTCCTAAGCTTCGCATACCAAAGGCAGATTGTCTGTTCACCATGTTAACAAATGAATTGCCAACAGCTATCTGGGGTGAAGAGAAAGCAGGCGGCTTGTCACAGTTTTTATTGTTGCTTCTGAACAGTCACGACACACCAAATGCGAAGCAATAGTGTCATCCACTATTGCTATGTCTATAATTGTATTACATTCTCTTGTCTGTCAACATCAAAATTATAGGCACTTTGGAGAGCCTAGAGAAAGGATTACAAAAACAGCAAGATAAACTTTCTAGCTCAAGTGGTTCAGAGTTATGAAGTTTTTAGTAAGGATCTCAAAACCACTTTTTTTACTATGGAGTTCTCCACACTTTTTATCCACAAAACATTTATTTTCCTTATATAAAAATGTATAAAATATGCTGAGTCGACACTTACTTGTATTTGATTTATTACATTTTAAAAAATTAATATTTCTTTAATTTTCCCAAAATAATAATAATAATAATACTTTTTAGATATTAATTTCAACTTTTCTGTGGAACTATTTAACATCTATAATGATAAAAATATAATACAGGGATTAATTGACGATAATAATTTTAATTTTAGCATTTTTTTCTCTCTCTAAATATATTATATAATGTATAGTCCCATATGACAGGTCTGCACAACTCAAAATGCAAGGCAATTATGAAAAACGTGTGCGGGCCAAAAGAAAATAGGACAGGGGGAAAGCTATTAAGAAAATAATAACAATAAAGAATATTTCGTTACTTACAAAATAAATTAATGTAGTCAATTTCCCTTGTGCAAGAGTAATTGCACGCGAATAGCATGCATAGGGCCTATGTATAAATATTGTTATGAGAAAAGAAAACGTACGAGGAAAGAAAAAAATGTAGTGAATATTTACACAATGATAAATATTTAGTAATTTAATTAGATTAAAATAAACCATGTATTTCAAGTATATGTTTGGGAAAATGAAAAAAATAAATAAAATTTATTGATATTTAAAAATTAAATAAATATTTATATTTTTTGTCTCTGTATATATACCTTTCATAATATTATAAATCAATAAGTCAATGAGCTGGGCAATATTATTTTTAATTTATAATATTATGAATTTTCACCAAAGTCTTCGCAGACCGCATAGTAGGTGATGGGGGGCCCGCATGCAGCCTGTATGTTGTGAATGCCTGCCATATGAATATTAAAAAAAAATAGTATGTCATTTATTTTAAGTTAGTAATCTTGTTTTACAATAAACATGTATTGTTAAAATCTACTTTGGCAGTTGATAGAAATTAAAATAAGTTCTAGACATTTGCTTGAGGTAAGAACCATTTATTACGATTGTTCTTTAGAAATATCTTAAGTAATTCTTGGATTATTGTGCCAGAGAGAGTGTTTTTTCTGTGAGAATACTGAGGATTATATAATAATTTCCTTGTGGAATATCGTAAGTGAATATTTTTTTTCATTTTAATTTAGTTTGTGCCTTAAGTCTGAAGAACAATAATATTATTAGTCATTAAAATAAGATTACATGCCCTAAAATATCATTACACATAATTTATTATAATAGTAAATAGTAATAGGTTCTACAAATAATAATTTAGGTTTCGAGTTAGGCTTTATAGTGGATATATATATATATTATAGAAATATATTATATATCTTATATTATATGTATCATTATACATATATATATAAGTAAATTAATTGTAATAAAGGCTATTTATCTAACTCCCCAATTTCTCATTTATATTCTGGATAGCCAATTTAATGAAATATTAACTACCTCACGGACGCTTTCGATTATTGGTAATATGCAGATAAGTATGGTGCCCATGATGACAAATTATATAGCCTAAAAAAGTTACTCTTTGAGTTTCGTTTTTGATGCTTGCCTACAGTCCACACTCATGAATTTTGGGTGTCTTATAAATTAAATCATAAATTTAATCAGCCTTTTTTAAAATAAATCAGTGCTTCTTTTAACAAAATAGTTATTGATCAGTAAAGTTAATCTATTTTTAACTTCAATTTTCAAAGCTTTAAGCTTGAAAAAAAAACTCAAATGAATTATTTGAATTCCCAAAAGAACAAGCAAAATGTCTGCTTTAAGTAATTGGCGGATGTAGAATTTATTGTTATGCTAAAAATTTACTACAAGAGGTGAGCCAACAATACCCTCTGTAAAAAAAAAAAGTGGAGTTCCCCATTTCGACAACGTAACGAAATGGCCATACCAGATTTTTGGGTGTTTCCTGGCCATACCGAAGTGCCTTAATTATCATTATATTATGTGCCCTGCACATTCTTCGCCCTCTTCTGAATTATTTTCATCATACATATGACTCGTCCTCTGTAACCTCCTCTGTACTATTAAGTAAGTCAAATATTAAGTCATACATATTTTTCATTCTGATCTAGTGGGCATATCTACCTGGTTACACTAAATCTCTAAATTCTACACTCTTATCGCCTATCAAACAACTGTTGTTTCCATCATTTTGTAAGCCTTTTCCTAACGAAGTTGCTATTCGGACCTGGGTCCCAGAAGTGGGAGGCTGGGATTAAAAAAATATGTAAAAGATGAAGTAAGTTTACAAAAATATAGTCCATTCAATTTTTTTTCATTTGATACCCGATTTTTGTCTTAAAAACCCTACACAATGACTAGATACTTCGATGAAAGAAGGGAGACTACTATTTTTTTTGTATCGGAAATGGGCGTCGGCGCCGAAAAATCCGAGTTTTTAATTTTCCGATGTGTGTGTCTATTTATTATTAAATTAGTTCTTTCCACATATATTTGAGTTCCGTTTCCGGCCTTATA